GTTTTGAGTTGCTGTCCTCAGTTTGGTCTCATAGAGGCAGATCATTGAAAGAGCACAGCACTCAAGGCAGGCACTGGTTACTAGGTGACCTAAACTATTATTTGGTTTAAAGACAACTTCAGTGTATATTTTTGGCTTAAGGTTTAAAATTTAAAGATTATCTCAAGATGATAGTTTCGTGGATTCATCCAGCCTCCATGGCTCCAGGAAGTCTGGAGCCCATGAGATATTAGAAGTTCTGTTCTACGTTCCCCCCCCCCTTTTGATCAGGATTCTGCTATAGACTCCTTTATCAAAATGAAGAACTCTTCTGTTTCTTATTGTTGAACTCCCTGGTGGTGGGCACCACATCTCAGCTCTCCCACAGCACTGATACACAGCCCAGGTGCCATCCAGCAGGTGACAGGGTACAATGTGACTGACACTACACAATATCTCGTAAATATGCCCTCTCTCCCACAGATCAGCCAGCTGAATGCACTCATCACCTTGCTCATTGGAAGCCTCAATGCGGGCGACAGGATGAAGATCATGACCATCTGCACCATCGACGTGCACGCACGAGACGTAGTAGCCAAGATGATCACTGCCAAGGCACGGGCGGCCATATCCCCAGGGGGCGGGAGGGCCAGGAATCGGGTCTGGGGCCAGGAGTCCAAGGACTGGAGCCCCTATTGCCTCCTCTTCTGGGGAGGCAGCAGAAAGGACTTGTCTCAGCTGTGTTGGCGGCAGCACCGGTGCCTCACCCCCCGACTGGACTCCCCCCTGCTGTGTCGCAGTGGTGGGCATGTGAGGATTCAATGAGCGGCGTTCGTCCTGTAGCAAGATGCAGTGCTGTGGGCTGGGTGTGGGCCAGGGATGGTCCCCCGAGGGCCAGGGCACTGGGCTGGGGCAAGCTGGCCTTTGCCCGCCATGCCTGGCTCCCGTTTCGCTTGGCCAACGCGAAGGGCCCCTGCCGTCTGCACAGGTGGAGAGTTCCCAGGCCTTCACCTGGCAGTCTCAGCTCCGACATCGCTGGGACGAAGAGAAGAAACACTGCTTTGCAAACATCTGTGATGCCCAGATCCAGTATTCCTACGAGTACCTGGGCAACACGCCACGGCTGGTCATCACCCCGCTCACAGACAGGTGGGATGGCAGGTCACCCAGCCCCAGGGCTGGGGGCCAGGGATGTCTTGACAGGGAGCCCCATCTGTCCTGCCCCAGCCAGGTGTGGCGAGAAGATGCCTTTTCTCTGGCCTCATCCCCGTGGTTCTCTGCACTGTCCACGGCTTGGGTTTGGGCCAGGTGGGCCTGCACTCGGCTCTGCCGCCAGCAGGGTGGGGCCTTTGTTGTCACATCAGCTGAGTAGTCTTGGGGGTCCTCTAAAGGCCTGCAAGGTAGGGATGACGTTTTATGAACCCTCATGAGCTGGCTGGGGATTCAGCCAATCACAGTCAGTTCCCGTTATTGGAGCTAATTGTGTTCTGTGGTAAAAGCTTCAAAAGCCAGAACCTGTGTAAGGTGGAAACCTGTCAGAAAAGGAGAACGAAAATATTTGCCACTAAAACAAACAATAGAAAGTGGTGGAGCCGCTGCTGGAGGAATAGGCAGGGCAGCAGCAGTAGCGGTGGCTGAGAGGTGGGGCCAGGAGCCGAAGGAAGTAAGTGGGGGTGGGGCACGCCCAGTCCCACCAGCTGTGCAGTAGGCGCAGCCTGGGCCCACCGCCCCCGCCACCAAAGCCTAAGTAAGAGCCATGTCCTCGGCCTCCCCCGACCCCATATCCCTCATGGGCTGGTGCTGCCAGAGTCTGGAGTTGGGGTCTTTAAAACCATTAGGGGGAGAACTGCTATCCTTTAAAAAAGCAACCGTATGGGACCGTGGACGTGAACATGGTCAGGTGTGAAGCGACGCACACCTGTATGTCGTTGGCTCGTTAGCACTGAAGTCATGGCCAGCACCGAGTGAAGCTGATCTGACACAGACATGACACACACATCTCCATAAGGCACGTCACAGGCTCCTTGCACCCCAGAATACAAGACAGCACTTCAGCCCTGCACCAGGGCCATTTCAAATGGGGAGTCACCAGCAAAGGGTGGAAAAGGGTGAACAGAGCACGAGAAGATGCCTGTCTGCACCATGAGGCTGAAACCTTGTGCAACCTCAGCTGGGAACACGCGTGTCGGGACACTCAGATCTGGCCACTCAGTGCACGTCCATGGGTGACTGGGAAAGCGCCATGAGTGCAGATTTGGGGGACTGAGAACTTTAGTGAGCAGGCGAGTTTGCAAACAGGGAATCGGTCAGTAAGGTGCATGGACTGGGTTTCACCAAAGCCCTTGCTTGGAGGAGAGCTGTTCAGGACAAACCCTTGGTCAGTGTGGTGGTGCTGCTGGGGAACACTTGTGTGACCAGCAGCCCTGAGGGACAGGGGCGTGTGAAGCACTGTGCCGGCCTGTCCCCGAGTCTCCTGGAGCCGCCCGGGGCTGAGCAGGTGTGGACCCTTGCAGAAATCAAAGGCTCCCTGCTGGTGCAATGGTTAAGTGCCCCGCTGCCGAGTGAACCCGCCAGTGGCTCCGGAGGCGATCTGGTCCCATAGAGATGAAACAGCACAGCATGTTGCCAGAGTCACTTCCAACTCCAAGCGACCCTGTAGGACAGAGCAGAACTGATCCATAGGGTCTCTAAGGCTGGACTCTTCACAGGACCAGACTGCCTCTTCTTCCTCCTGCGGTGCGACTGGTGGGTTCAAATCGCCAAGCTATCAGTTGGCAGTGGGGCGCTTTAACCACTGTGGCTCTTCCTATAACGATCACAGCCTGGCAGAGCCAGTGGGGCAGTCCTGCTCTGTCCTGTGGGCTGCCTGGAGTCGGCATCTACTCAACAGCTCCCCAACAGCGATCAGAAGCCCCGTGGGGAGAGCGGGTGGCTGTGGGTGAGCGGGGCCACTGCCACGGAGCTAAGTGCCCGTGTCCTACAGATGCTACATAACCCTGACGCAGTCCCTGCACCTGATCATGGGCGGGGCCCCCGCCGGCCCGGCCGGCACCGGAAAGACAGAGACGACCAAGGACTTGGGCCGGGCCCTGGGCACCATGGTGTACGTCTTCAATTGCTCGGAGCAGATGGATTACAAGGTGTGTGCGTGGGACCCCGAGGCAGCGGGGCAGCCCCTCTGCCCCAGGACCCCTGAATGTTTGAGCCCTGCACCCGGCTCCCTGGGAGAGGCATTATGTCCCCACTCTGTTATTGATGGCTCCCGGGACCCTGTCTGTAAGTGGCTCCCCGACTCCATGCCCAGCCCTGAGTGGCGACCCCTGCCTGCGGAGGAAACCCCCTCTCACCCTTCAAGCGCCTCTCATGGGGAGCTATGGGGAAAGGGAACCTTCAGGGGTGGAGGGCGGCAGGAGCAGGGGCCTATCTGTCATCTGAGATGGTGTCGGGCAGAGTCTGTTCTCAAAGGGCCAGCAGGACAGGGTGACTTCTGGGTCTGGTGGGTGAGGAGGGGCAGTGTCAGAGATCAGGAACCCTGGCCCGCAGAGGGCCCCCCATCTGCATCTGAGCCCCCAACCCGAGAGACGAATCCTGAGCCTGGGGATGGGGCCAGCACCCCCTGCTGAAGGTCAAGGCCAAAGGGTTCAGCCTCCTGGACTTGAGAAATGTGAACCGTGCAGTCGGACCCCTTGGAAGTCCCAGAAATCCCTCGTGCTGACGAAGGGTCTGGCTGGGGGCGGAATGAGCTGAACAGCTGGAGGAAGGTCATCTGTGCACCCACCATGAGCCCCCACCTTAGAGGGACCCCCACCTCTGTGCACACGAAACGTTCTGGGTCAACTTTGACACAAGTGCTTGTCTGAGAAGGGGACTTCTGCAAAGTTGTCACTCTTAAGGTCACGGTGCCCTGGGATCAGGCCCCTCACAGCCCCGCGTAATATCAGCCATGCTGGACGGGGAGCCAGAACCCCCACTGGCCCCCAGGGCCCCCGAGGGCCCCCATCTAGCCCTCAGTCTGCTGCCACGGTCTGGTGGCCCGCCCGCTCCCCCCTCCCTCCCCTCCTCCCACACGAGCCTCTCCACCCGCCCTTCCTAGTCCTGTGGAAACATCTACAAGGGCCTGGCCCAGACCGGCGCCTGGGGCTGCTTTGACGAATTCAACCGAATCTCTGTGGAAGTCCTGTCCGTGATTGCAGTGCAGGTGGGTGGGGCCCATGACGATGACAAACTACCCTGCCAGCCAGGGGCCACCAGCTTACCCACCATCTCACACCCAGAGAGAAGCAGTCAGGCCCGCTGACTCTCCTCACCCCAGGACATGCCAGGCGCTATGAGGTGGGGGGGGGGGACTCGAAGATAAGCGAGGCCCCACCCGTCAGCCGGAGGCCCCCAGCTAAGCAGGCTCACACACATGCAGACAATAAAACTCAGACGGGGGCTTATTTGTAAATGAAACGGACGAAGGAGAAGGACCGAGGACTCTTACAGGGATCAGTCTGGTTGGGCTTTGAAGGATGCATAGGAGTTGAGCAGTTAGACAAGTGGCTGGGACAGAGCAGCATGAAGGGGGAGGGAGGAGGGCTGTCCAAGGGCATGAGGACAGGATTGCTGCTGGCTGCCCTTCACCGCTGCCACCGTCACCCCACACGGCTGTTACCCAAGTGCGAGCCTGGGGTGGAGATACAAGAAGGGAGCACCCCAAAGCCCACTGCTGTAGCAGCTACCTGCCCCCCGAAAGTCAGTGACCAAGCAAACCCACAACAGTGCTGTAGCGCCTTTGTTAACAGAATGCTGGGAGTGGCTTTGGGTGCACGAACCAAACCCAACTCACTGCCATGGAATTGATTCCGACTCTTAGTGACCCCCACTGGGTTTCCAACGTGGTAGATCTTTATGGAAGTAGATTTCCCCTTCCTTCCATGGAGCGGCTGGTGGGTTTGAACCACCAACCTTCCGGTTAGCAGTCAAGTGCCTTAGGCACTGTGACACCAGAGCTCCTGTTTTTGGGTGCATAGACAGCAAGAATTGTAAGGGGTCACACCCCCAGCCCCAGCCCCCAACCCCCAGGACCCAGACCCCAGGACCCAGACCCAACCCCTAGCCCCCACCCTCCGGGCCCCAGTTTCCAAATCCTTGCCCTTAGCCCCCAGCCCCC